TGTTTGCAATACTTAAAGCAGTGACGAGATGAAAAGAATACTATTGTTGTTTGACATCGAGTCAGTTCCGACCCATAGCGACCCTCTGCACAACAGAAGGAAACACTGCATGCTCCTGCGCCATCCTCACAATTGTTCCTATGCCTGAGCCCACATGCAGTTCAGACCCATGTTGTTCAACACAGAACTGCATTTACAAAAAGGGAAGCATGTATCAAGATAAAGATAAGTACTTCAACATCTTTTGCGAGTAAAGAAAAAAATGCAGAAAAAGGACACCTTGGGGTCAGTTTATATTATGGATTGAAATACATTACTCAAAAATATAGTGAATGTGATTTCTTAGGACATACTGCCATTGCAGATGAATCAAAGTAAGATGAGGTCATAGTCGAGGCCTTAGTCCAATGACTAGTGTTTCTCATGAGAAGAACCACAGACTGTGCCAGGCGATACTGGGGACAGAGACTGGTGGTGCCCAAAACAAGAAGGATTGGACGAGCGCACTGAACAATGGCAATGTAAGAAGCTAAGAGAGAAACCATCAAACACGTCCTCTCTTAGACCCATCGAAAAGATCATGGCCCTACTAACACCGAGATTTCAGCCTTCTAGACAACAGAACTGAGAGAATAACTTTCTGTTGTGCTGCGCCAAAATGTTGTGGCAATACTCTATGGCAGTCCCAGAAAACGAATACAGATCAGATAGTGTCTTAGTTATCTTGTACTGCTATGACAGAAATACCACATTTACTTGGGTTTCACCAACGGAAATGTGTTTTCTCACAGTTCAGGAAGGTCCAGTTCTAACTCAGGCACCAGCTCCATGGGAAGGCCTCCTCTCTCTCAGCTCAGGAGAGTCCTCGTCTGATCTGAGCCTCTGGGAAGAGCTCCTGGGAACTCTTCATGTAGCTTGACTTCTCTTTTCTCAATCTCTGATGGTCGTCTGTCCGAATTGGATATGTTAATGTCCTGTTAGAGACTGACACAAACACACAGCTACGCTATACCTGCCTCACTAACATAAGAGGATCCACTCCAAAACAAGAGTATAGCTACAGGCAGAGAGATGAGCAATTACAACACATGTTTAGAGAGATGCATTCCAATCTATAACAAGTGGATTGAAGAGGAAATGCAGTGGTGAGGATGCATGGATAAAATCTTGTATCTGAGAGAAGCCAGGTGGTTTTAACAAGAGGGTTAAAAAGGAAAATCTAAAGTCAAAAAGATGTAAGGAAGCACTCGAGCTCCCTGGAATCTCCACCCTTCAGAACAGTGCTCTTTTCTTACCATCTTCCACACCCTGAGTCAACGCAATGAGCACGAGGAGGCCCTAAAGCCGCAGAGACCTTCATGGCTTCTGATCTCTACCCAGGTCTCACAGTGACAGGCAACAGAGAAAGGGCAGGCCACCTCAGGGCTTCAGAAACCCAGGCCTCCTCCACTGCAGACAATCTTCTCTCATTCTGGAAAGCTGAGCAAGAAAACCCTCAGCAGCACCTCATGGGCCTTTCTCCTGTTGGCATTATGATTCTGACTCACACAAACCGGGAGTCTAAAATGCAAAGGGGTCCTGGACTGTACGCCATCCCTGGAAGACACCAGCAACCAGAAGTGTGTTTGCTCCAGGCCTGTGTGCGCACGGTGGCTTACTTCACAGTTACATAGCATACTTGTCTAGTGGACTGGGAGAAGCACGCCTTCACTGGGCGATTCCAGGAGGTCCGTGTGGGTGACAGAAAAGGAGCATTTATGAATTGATTGACGAGGTTGTATATCACAGTTACATTGGGTTTACAAAATAAATAAAAGCACCATATCCTGGCATCCCAGCTAATGAATTTGATTCAGCAAGTCTGGTCAATAGCCACTAAACAATATGCTTACAGCAAGCTCCAAGAGACTCTGATTTATAAAATTTACAAACACCATCTGATTATCAAATTTACAAAATCATGTTCTAGACATTGAAAAGGATTGCATTCTGGTTTAAGTATTATTTTCCTAAAGGGCATTTTTATCTTGAATATGTGTGCATCTCCTTAGTAATGAATCAAACTGCTCTAAGCTTCTTTTCCTCTGTTTGTAAAGGTACCACAGAGAGAGGGCTGGTGGCTAAAGAGGACCGTGTGAACTGGTTTCTCATTTGGGAAACCAAACTTAGAAGAAACTCCCTCTCCAATGCAAGTTGAATAAATTATCCTTTGACATAAAATAGCACATACATTGCCAAGCCTCTAATACCTGAAAAATCATTAGTGACTATGAGACTCTCCAAAGAGATGGATTGACAATGGCTACAATAGGCTCAAACATAGCACTGATGGTGGGGGGTGGCATTGGAGTGGGCAGTGTGTCACTGTGTTGTACATTGGATCACTCTGCATCAGGATAGACTCACCAACACCTAATATCAACAACACTGTCAATTTTATCTATTGGAAGCTCCAGAATTATGCATTGAAGTAGCAAACAAACAAAAAGGTCAGGCTGTGATCAATAGAGTCAAGCCCTGGGGGACAGGTGTCCAACCTGCTAAGCAAAAGATCAGTGGTTGGAACTCACCAGCCACTCTTGAGAAAGATCAGGCCGTCTATCTGCTTTAGTAAAGTTCAGAACCTTGGAAACCTTCTGGTGCAATTCTCTGTCCTATGGGGTTCTGATGACTCCTAAGCATTGTTACCTAGGTTAGATTTGCTTGCTCAAAGCTTTTTATATTGAATGTACAAATCTAGGCTGCTGATGAAATTTTCTTCTAAAGATGCTCAAAAAACAAATATTTTGTCCAATAAAACATACCAATGTAAACTCTTGACAGAATGAGACTATTGATGAGCATATTAATTTGGCCTGGTTCCATACTTTATAGGAATCTACCATTATAAAAGCCCAATCTCAAAGGCAAGAATTTAATAAATTACCTCTAGATATTATATAATATGTAACACATATATAACACTCAAAGTACTAGGTAATTGTGATGGTTAGCCTGTGATCATAAATGTCCAAAGTTTGAAACCATCAGCCACTCTTAATGAGCCTTCCTCCAATCTTAATGCCATATTCTTCTTTAGACAATCTAGCTGCTCAGATTATTTGCACAGCATACAAATTTTAAAAGTATTGTGAAAAGATGCTGTTTTGATACATTTTCCTGCCAATTTTTAAGCACTCAATATCTCTTTGTTCTCTTTGGACAACTGCTTCTTGCTTATGTACAGGTTCTTCATGAGCACAATAAAATGTTGAGGAATTTCCATTTGTTGCGTTGTTACTATAGTTCTTATGATTCACGTAGTCAAATGCCTTTCCATAGCCAATGAAACACAAGTAAACCTCTTTCTGGTATTCTCTGTTTCCAGCCAAGAGTAATCTGACATCAGCATAGCCTCTTATGAATTTGCGAGCTCCCTGTCAATATACTGTTGCATATAGTTTTGAATTATCTTCAGCACAATTTATGTGCAATCCTACACAACTCTTCCAGGACATAGAAAGGGACAGCAAATTCCAAAACTCATTCTATGAAGCCATTATAAACCTGATACCAAAAGGGGGCAAAACCCCAACAAAGAGAGAGAACTACAGACCAGTATCTCTCATGAACATAAATGCAAAAATTCTCAACAAACTTTCGTCAATAGACTCCAATGGCATATAAAAAAATAATACATCATGACCAAGTTGGATTCATACCAGGTTTGCAAACAAGATGATCCACCACATTAACAACAAAAAGGATAAGAACCATATGATCATATCAATTGATACAGAAAAAGCATTTGACAATATACAACACCCATTCCTAATAAAAGCTCTCGAGAAGATAGGATTAGAAGGGGAAATCTGCAATACACTAAACTCCATATGCAACAACAACAAAAAATAGCCAATTTTACATTCAATGAAGAAAAGCTGAAAAAATTTCCACTGAATAAGGGAACCCGATAAAGATGTCCCTTATCCACACTTTTATTCAACATTATGCTGGAAGTCCTAGCCAGTATCATAAGACAACAGCAAGAAATCAAGGGAGTACAATTGGGTGAAGAAGTGAAAATTCTGCTATTTGCAGACTATCTGATTTTATATATTGAGAATCCTAAGGTGTCCACAATAGTATTGCTGTAAACAATAGAGGGGGTTAGTAGAGTAGCAGGATACAAGATTCAAAAGCTGAAATCTGAGTCAGGGAGAAGAGATCCTGCGCCAGTGGGCCACAGCTGCGATGGGGATGCAGCTGCACTCAGCTCCGTGTTCTCTCAGATTTATCCAGTGGCGCATACAAGAACTGTGCAGGGTCACAGTGAATCAGCTTCTTCTCCATTCGTACACCCGCTTGCCCACCAGCCCCTACTCCCTTTTCTGCCTGCTCTGGTGTCTAAACCCAAAACACCCCCTACCAGCAGGAAGCAGACAGACAGAATACAACACCCCTTATCACCACAATAGACTGGAATGTTAGGCAGAAACGGGACTGCTGGGGCAGGTAAGTGGAGCAATTACCCTGACGACAGTGTGCAATAGTGCCAATAACTCCTGATGATGCCTCTAAAGCCTAGACGTAGATAAATGGTGGCCCCAGATAAGCATTATTACACTGTTACATTGTTACGGTGTTACTAACTTCCCACCTTGCAAAATAGCCAAACTGCAATGGAAAATTCCTCAATTACCTTTGCCTCAGACCAGTACTATAAAACTCTTCTCCTCCATCCCAGACAGCACAACTTCTCTGGCCCCCAACTAGAGACCCATGAACCTTGCCTGGGAGCTCTGAAATAAACCTTTAAAACTGAAAAAAAAAAAAAATAGCTTAAATCAATTGGATTCTTATATACCAGTGATAGGAATACAGAAAAAGATATCAAGGAAACAATATCATTCACAATAACCAGGCAAAAACAAAAATATCTAGGAATAAACTTCACCAAAAGAACAAAATAACCTGTATGAACAAAACTACAGAACATTACTATAAGAAACCAAAAGGGAATGCCTTAAACTCATGAGTAAGGAAAATAATGATCCGGGGTGATGCCCGGATCCTCACTGCTAATGTGAAGCAAATTTTTGAGCCAGTGAATAAACTGAGCATTCAAAAATGTCACCTAAAAAAAGAAAGAAACCAAACGGGATCTACACAAATAGGAGAATATCCCATGTTCATGGATCAGAAGATTCAATATTGTGCAAATGTCAACACTACCTAAACTACTCTACAAATTCAATGCCATCCCAATCCAAATTCCAGCATCATTCATTAAAGAAATGCTAAACCTGGTTATCAACTTCATATGGAGAGAGAGGAAGCCCAGGATAGGCAACTAACTCCTCATGAAGAAGAACAAAGTAGGTAGCTTTTCACTAGCTGATCTCAAAGCCTGCTATACAGCCACAGTTGTCAAAAGAGCCTGGGAGTGGTATAATGATAGATTCTCAGACCAAAGTATCAGCACAGAAAACCCAGTACTAAAACATCTGCATATAGACAACTGAATTTTTACAAAGGTCAAAAAAGCATTAAATGGGAAGCAGATGCCCCGTCAATATATGGTATTGGAACAACTGGATATCCACCTTCAGAAGATAGAACAAGACTCATCTCACTCCAAGCAAAAACATGGATCAAAGACCTAAATGCAAAACCCAATTCCATCAGGATCATCAATGAGAAAATCAGAACATATATAAGTGACCTAGTGCAGGGAATGCATGGGCTATCAGAGATAATAGAGGAAACATACTCAATAGAAGACAAAGTAGATGAGTAGGACCTATTTCAAACAAAACACTTGTGTTCACTGAAAGAGTAAAAATGTTTTGAGAAGGATGATGGCAACAAATGTACAAATGTGCTACACACGATAGATGTATATATGGATTGTGATAAAATCGGTATGAGCCCCCAATAAAATGATTTTTTTAAAAGAAGAAATCATCATGAGGCAGCCCTTGCTACCCTCAAAGAATGAGCAAGTGTATTGTTATGATGGATAACATTTTTTTCTTGGCACAATTTTCTTGACCTTTCTCCCAACAATGCAGTTTTCCATTTTCTCAAAATTGCTTCAAAGTAAGCTCCTGGCTACCACTATCAATTGCTCTGAAAGTAATCACATGAGAAGGTCTTAGTTGAAAATAGGGGTGGCGGGGGAAATGGAACAAACTCAGGCTTACTGTTCAGATAGAAATTAGTAGAACCCCCAAGACTATGGCCCTTAATCACCTTTCCAGCCTAGAAATGAACTCATTCCTGTGGTTCAATTTTCACCCATATAATAGGTCTATAAGAAAGCAATAAGGCTAGGGAGGTATAGAGGTCTTAGAACAATCAACCTATTGGAGACTGAAGGACGATATTTGTCAAGAAGAAAAGTCAGAAATGTTAGGAAAGGAGGAGAAATGGGAACAGGAGACACAGGAAGGAAGCAGGATGTTTCATTAAGGAGACTGCACCCAATGGCAGGAAACAAAATGTGTGTCAATGGTTGAATGGAAAATTGGGCTGCTTTGTTAAGCTTCATGCAATTCACAGATTAAGAGGTGTTGAAACAATTTGGTATCCATAGCTCTAAAATTTAACTTCTCTTAACCTTAATACCTTCTACAAAAATTAGTTCAAAATAAATCATATTTTCAGACAATATGTTTTAGAATATTACTAGGAGAAATTTTTCAGAATGTAGGGCTAGGACAGGGTTCTTAGACTCAATGCTTAAAACAATACATAAAATGGAAAACTGATAAGTTGGGCTTTATCAAAATTCAAAACTTTTGTTCTGTAAAAGACCCTGTCTCTCTCACACACACACAAACACATACCCACACACAAACCAACAAAAAGACAGTTTGGAGACTGATTATGGAATCAATTGTACAATTCTGTTTGAAGTGATTGAACTATGGAATGGTATGGCCTATGTATGACTCTCAAGTTCCAGCAAAATAAAATTTTTAAGAAGTGTAGATCCATTCGGTGCCTGCCTTACCCATGGGAGGCACTGACCCAAAAGGCTGCCACAGCGACATTGTAACTCATGGGCCCTGTTCCTTCCTCTCTGCTGACCCTCAGGGATAAATTTTGTTACAGACATTTAAAAAAAAAGTGTAGATCCATAATGGGTTTTGGGCTTGCACTAAAACCTAGCTCCAAAGTGAACACAATTAGGTCCTACATCATGGTCCTGCTCAATACTTGCCCTCAGAAAGTGAACACAGAAGATATGGGTGCTATAGCAAAATGTGGCAAAGAATGTAGATGGTGCCTGGCTATCAGATAAAATAGCATCTGGGGTCTTAAAGGCTTGTCTCAAAAAGAGCAGCCATCTAAGAGAGATGTCAACCAAGTCCACATGAGATAAGCACACCATCATCATTCACTGAAGGGCTGGAATCCATGTAATCCGAAGTTGAAGGAGGGATCAGCATCAGAGCCTAAACTGTGAGAATCCAGTGTGCAGACGGCTATGGATGACAGTGGGAGCCCAGTATTCATCTGTGGAACTACACAGGAAATAAGCCTCATGAGAAATCCCTTTCTAAAATTGAGGGATGGGAAGAAAGTGGTCACTAAACAGAGTGCTTGGGAGAGAGCAGTATAGAAGATCGAAGGCATAAATCTGACCTGAATAGTTAAAACTTTGTCAGTAGATGCCCCTTATGATCTGTTTTCCAAAATTTTCTGTACTTTTAGTTTGTATTGTTTGGTTTGGTTTTCATTTGTTCATAGCAGAGTGAATCTTAGAGGTGTTATGTCAATGGAGGTCACCCTCTTGAACCTGTGTTATATCTTTTTCCTTTTTGCGGTAAAGAAACCCAGAATTGACGAGCCTATAGGGACAGCAAGCAGAATAAAGGATTCAGGGAGAGGGGCTACAGTGGCGGTGGTAAAATGGAGACAATGTCAAGGAATCCGGATAGAAAAAGAATGGCCGGAAACAGTTTGTGGTAGCAATTGTACAATTCTACTTGATGTGATTGAAATATGGAATGCTATGTTTAAGTGTTAAATCCCAATTAATAAAAATTTATTTTTAATTTAAAAACTGAAAAGACTGAGAGGAAGTATTTGCAAAAGACAATGCTGATGCCCCTAATAAAATGATTTTTTTTTAAAAGACAATGCTGACAAAAGCCTAGCATCTAGAATATATGATGTGATGCTGTACTATATATTTTTGAAGGATGTTATCACTGGGTGAAACTTCATAAAGAGTGTACACTTGTGTTCTCTGCATTATTCCTTACAACTACATGCAAACTTATATTTTTAACTAACAAAAAATTTAAACATAAGGCCGTACAGGAGAAACTCTTCAGAATGTAAAGCTAGGCAAGTTTTGCTTGGGATGGATACTTTCAGAAGTGAGACAGGGAAGGGTCCCAGATAAACCAGGAGAGTTGATCCCTCTACGTAGAAGACAAAAATCAGTCCCCCTCAGACACAATGGGTCTAAAAAGATCAAGGTAAAGGACAGTTGAGCCCTAAATAAGCCTCCCTTCCAGTATTACTCCCTAAACAGGAACAGTCCTGACAGCCTAACTCCTCCCACGTACACCTTCTCTGCTTTTTAGCCCACCCCACACCTACTACGTCCATCCAACAGTCAAGTATTTGATCGCTTGTGAATTATGGAGTCTGAAAGGGAGCAAGAGAAGAGAGTTGGAGAAAGAAGAAATATCTCAAATTAGGGTGCATTCTATAGTCTCTGGGCTAGTCTTCAATAAGAGAAACGTCATATTTCAAGTCCAAGCATCTAAAAGAAATTCCTCCCCAAAATTATCCTTAGTTATTTCTAGGATTCAACTAGATCAAAATGAGGAAAAACCCAAAACCACATGAAAAGCTCACTCCTTAAGAAACTTTCTAAAGCAAGTAGAGTTTCTCAGTGATCTCCTCGGGAATTTTGAAAAGAATTACTTATCCTTCAACACTCCTTTAGCTCACTCCTTTAGAAACTTCTCCGAGTCCGTATATTATATCTGTCCCGTCCCCATCACAATTCCACCTCAACGAGAGGAGGACAAATAGACCCTTGAAGCCCAGGAAAATCTTCATGTGCTCAGATATGAAGCCAAACCCCACTGAAGAAAGAGAGGCTGGTGGAGAGGGCAGATTCGTTTACTGAAATAGCGGAGAAAGCACTCAGGAGTAAGTTATTCACGACCACTTGGGAAAGCGCGCACATGGAAGGAATTTATCAGTGCATTTTCTAAATTCGTACATTCTTATTTCAAATCCCCAAAAACAAGAGTGAAGGCAAGGTCCAACGAGACATTTCCATTGCCTTGGAACTATGGATTCTGTAGCTCTGAAATGCATGCACTTTCGTTGACAATTACTTCAGGTGCCTGGGTAGTGCAAGCACTTCAGATTGAGGTACTTGGTTTAGATCAAGGTGTTTTTTAAAAATCATTTTATTGGGGGCTCGTAGAACTCTTTTCATAATCCATACATACATCCATTGTGTGTCAAGCACATTTGTACATGTGTTGCCCTCAAAACATCTGTTTTCTACTTGAGCCCTTGGTATCAGCTCCATGAGGCTCAGATCCACTCAGAGTCTTCTGGGAAGAAAGGCTGATGATCTCCTCCAAAAATTAACCACTGAAAACCCAAGGGAGCACAGTTCGATGCAGACACATATAGGATTTCCACAAGTTAGGGTTGATTCCACTGCAACGGGTATTGAAGAATAAGAAGCAATTCTCTTCAAAATTTCCCAGAAGATCACTGAGAAGCTCTACTCTACTTGCTTTAGAATCAGAATCATTCAGTATGAGACTCTGTCTAGGTGGGGTTTGGGGAAATGTACTAGTTCTGGGCTTCACCTTCCGGCCTTGATACACTTGGACAAGTCCTGCAGTTACCAGTGTATTACTCCTACTAGCAGCTCAAGGAAAAAACAACAAACATAAACTTTGGGGAAAAAATGCCTCCACCAGGGGATGACTGAGTGCATCATTAGTCAAGGGAGAGGTTTTGTGGCACCCCAGGGAGTACCAAAAATGACATCTCTTCTAGCACTGTGAAGAGCCTAGAGAAGATCCCCATT